ATATAATGCACGCATTTAAGCGCTTATGTAAAAGTGGATAATTTTTTTCACTTTCAATCAAGTGCTATTTCTATGACGTTTTTGTTCATTAAAACAATTATTAGAACAAACTCAAGAAACAACTATTGGACAAGATCGAACTCTTAAACACAATCATTTATCAATTTGAAATTCATAATTTTCTTTCTAAATTCTTATATTGTTACATTAATACATCTTTTAAATATTATTTATGTTATTCTTATTAATATGAGGGAGAAGCGCGAATCGCGTGCGTTTAAACTAATATATCACAAATATGGAAAATAGAACCACAGTAGATATAACAATCCAATAACTATTTAAAAAATGTCAAACATCCAATACACATGCACTGGACCCTAGCGGGTAATATCACTAGACCAAATAATGGGCCCTCTGCAATAGAATTCTTAGACCAAAGGATGGGCCTTGCAACTTTGGTTTCTAGAACAAGAAAGTAGTATGGCTCTAGTTTCTTTGAAAAACTATAGCTTATTGCTAATCACTTATACCATCCGTCCTGATAATGCATTTCTTTCAAAGTTACAAACACAATCCCCTAGAATAAGTCGCAATCAACTTGATGCACTTTATTTGACTAATGAGTATAGGACCTAGTTAGAGGTGGGTGGCGCCTATATACCACTTCAAACACTCTTTGTTTGATTTTCGAATGATAAGTGGTATTGTACCACTATTTTGCCCATGATAACCAATGTTCCCAATCCTTTGGAATATTTTTTACAAAGCATCCCATGTAGTTCTCTAAGCACCGGTTAAAACACATCCATCACAGTTTGCATGATATTCCACTTATTCTATGTCATTTTAAGCTTTAGGTATTTGTTCCTCCCACAATTCTGTTCTCGATATGATAGTCTTGTTAATACTTTCTAATCTAATTTCTTTCTTGTACAAATTTTTCTTGCCTACTTTCCTCATCCGTGTTGGGATTGAAATAACAGAGCATCATGCGGAAGCTAATAATTACAAATTTTTTCTTGATAAATCAGATGACAAATAAAAACTATACTAAAAAGGATTACTGCTCAGGATAAATGGATGTGACCCAATGGCTAAAACTTTACCAGCTTCTTATAGACTAAACTCTCTTCTCTTTAGGCTCCGAGTTCTTTTGGGGGAGGGGGACGGGAATGGTCTAATTTACTAGTGGCAACGAAGTACTTAAATGACTAGATTCTCCTGAAACATTAGCTAGGCTAATCATCTTAGTTATGTTCGATTAAATCAATAAGCTTTTTGATTGATTCAGCGTGGGCCCCGACCTCTTCTTAGGATTAGAACCCATTGAAGGGGGCCTCAGCTCGGAAAGGAAGAGTGACCGAGTGGTCAAAAGCGGCAGACCGTAAATCTGTTGAACTTTTTCTACGTAGATTTGAATCCTACCTTTCCTCTTGATTGTTGTATACTTTAAAGAAGAGAAAAATAACATTCATAGTAACCTGTCAACACACCTCAACAAGGTACATAAACCAAATAGTACAAGTAAACATTACAACATAGCATAAGTCATTAAAACATGTATATCAACATCACATCTCATAACATGCGTTATGTCTATGAAAAACAAAGAAGTTATTTTCATTTTAAAAAAACGTATATAAAAGCATATTTTCATTTCGCAATAATACCGTGTCGTAGTTATAAAATAGTACTAACATATATATTTTCATAAAAGGAAAGCATCTCAAACATAAAAATCTAAAAATAGTATACTGTGCTAGCGCTTGTCCCATAAAATGCTAGGTAGTTTAAAATCACTTTAGTTCATTTATATAAGTTCTCAAGTCATGTTTTTAGAAAAGAAAGTACCCAAAAAAAAAGCTAGCGCTTGTCCCATAATGCTAGGGTAGTTTCAAACACTTTAGTTCATTTATATAAGTTCTCATACGTCATGTTTTTAGAAAAGAAAGTACCCAAAAAAAAAAAAGGTTAAAAGTCTCATTTACATCGCGTCCAAGTTAAGTGCATATCTTTTTTATTGATTTTTGTGGTCAATCTCAGACGATCACATTCAAATCATATAAAATATGCAAAAACATGGTTAATGATACATATTGACTCATATTTATTATTTTTAGACTAAGTTAAAGTCAAATTCAATGGTCAAAGTCAGCTCATAGGTCTACTCAATCAAAATCTAAAACAAATTATAGACTCGAACTACTCATTCCCCACGAGTCAAAAATATGTAAATAGATTTTTAATTAAAGTCTCTATTTCCCTCAAATCCTCAGTTTACCATTCTTAGAAATTAGGTCTACCTCTCCAAATGCTTCTCGAATCCATGTTCTTTTAGGATCTCGAAAGAAATAAAATGTTTAAGACTCATTAAAATATGATAAATTACTGGATGAGTCATTACGTGCAAACGGGAGCTAAAAATTTGAAGAACATTATTTGGACAAGAAGATTTATGTGACAACATTTTGGAACATATTAAAGATTAAACTCCGTGTCGAGAGAGATCTTAGATTCCGTAAGTAACTTAGTGCTAGTGTTTTAGAGCTTGAAATAAGAAAATGAAATAGGAACAACCGCGCTGGTCGTACCGAAAAATGTCCAATACAACCCATGACTATCATTCGTTATTTTTTTGCTCTTTCTTACTTTCTCATAGCGTACCCACCTCTTTTTTGTATTTTTCTAGAAAAAGAAGGAACCGCTATAATGACCGCGGGTAGAAATATTTGCATTTAATTAGATGGTCTAGATTAATGCCAAGAAAAATGGCAACCATGGTTACTCAACGTTGTATGGCTCAAAATAAAAATCGAATTTACAAATGGAATTCATATGAAAAAGACCAATTAATTCATTACAAAAAATAATAATTCCGAACTCTATTCATTATCAAACCAAAAAGATAATTTTCAAAAGTTATAGATATGATCTTTATCATATAAATCGATTAATTATGAAAATAAAAGTGACTAATTTATTTCTAGATTACCCTTTCAAGTAAGTAAGAACTTCGCTCTTATAATCTTTAACACGTTCAAAACCTAACTTTAAATATGCCCGGCACCATATCAATAATTATCTAAGAAAAAGCAATATTCTAGATATAGAAAGAAATCTCGATAGAAAATATTTTGATTGGAAAATTATCCATTTTTCTCTTAGACAAAAAGGCGATATTGGGGCCCGCAAAGTTAAGATCGATACTTAACAGTAATTCAAATACTAAAATTGATATTAATAATTATCAAATAATTTAGAAAATTGACAAAAAGACCTTTTTTATTCATACACCATCAAAATCCGTAAAACACTCAAAAATTTCAAAAAGTCTTTTTTGATTGGATGGGAATGAATTAAAAATATTAATCGCCCCATATTGAACTGGATTTTTGTTTCTTCCCTGCACTTATACGAATTTTTATAATGTATATAAAATAAAACCATGGATTATACCAAGCAAATTACTTCTTTTAAATTTGAATAGAAATGCAAATGTTGAATCAAAATAAAAATAAAAACAAACCTTTTTTTCTACCATCAAATAAAAATAAAGAATCGAATCTAAGAAGCAAAAGAACCCGCAAGTCAAAGAGAAAGAGAGCGTGGATTAGATATAGAAAAGAAAGGGAAATCGGGGCCCGCTTTCTCAAAACAAAGAAACGATCGTGAAAAAGATTACCCGGAATTAGACACAAAGAAGGGTAAAAGAAAGAACAATACAAGCAACACGAAAGGAACTCGATTTGTTCTGAAACGTTATTTGCTTTTTCAATTTGAGATGGAACGGCTTTGAATCAAAGAATGATGGAGAATATCAAAGCATATTGTCTCCTGCTTCGACCGATAAATCAACCAAAATTACTATATCGTCAATTCAAAGGAGTAGAACCGAGTTTGGATATAATGCCGATTGATGAGAATTTAACTCTTAATTGATGCATAAGGGGGTATTGATTATCGAACCTATTCCTATTGTCTCAGAAAAAAAAATACTGGATAATTTATTATGTATCAAACCATAGGTATTTCATTGTCCATAAAAGTAAACACCAAACTAATCAAAGATACCGAGAACAAAGATATGTTGATAAAAAGAATTTTTGATGAATTCATTCTCAGAACCGCAACTAAAGAATAAATACGTACAAAATCATTTTGATTTGCTTGTTCCGAAAATATTTTCTCGGTCTAGACGTCATAGAGAATTGGAGAATTCGAAGTTTTTTTAATTCTTTGAATTGGAATGGCTGCCGATAGAAACTCAAGATTTTGCAACAAAATCAATGTAAAACTCGGAGTCATTTTTGGATGAAAGGAAACCTCTTTACAATTATAAAGAGAAAAATGAATTAATTAAATTGAAGTTCTTTCTTTGGCCTAATTATCGTTAGAAGATTTAGTTTGTATGAATCGCTATTGTCAGTTTGATACCAATAATGGTAGCCGCTTGCATCTTAAGGATACATATGTATCCACGATTGAAAATTAATTGATAGCACTATATACCCCGTCTCGTATAGAGTATCTCGAAAATAAACAAATGCACACATGCCTTGTCTTACTCCACTCCGAGTAGACTATACTAAATCAATAAGGTATCGATTAGATATAGAAATGAATCAAATGTAATCTTCTTCATTTTAGGATTTTAGGTTTAAATTATTCACATTGTGAATGAAAAAACCACCTACCACCCTTGGGATTCCATTCGAATCACCAAAATTTGATTAATTTATTGGAATTGATAAAATTAGGGGTTCAAAAGCAAAATTAAGTCTATAGAATTCCAAACAATACATTATTATTCCGATCGATAAAATTTGATAAAATCCATAACTCGAAAATATAAAGAAAGGGAAAATTCATTTATGGTAAAAAATTTCGTCATTTCGGTTATTTCTCAAGAAGAAAAGAGAGGATCTAATAACTTCAAGTATTCAATTTCACAAATAAGAAATCTGAGACTTACTTCCCATTTAGAATTGCACAAAAAAGACTATTTATCTCGTAGAGGTTTGAAGAAAATTTTGGGAAAACGTCAACGATCGCTAGCTTATTTGGCAAAAAATTAGAGTACTATAAAGAATTAATTAATCGCCTGGACATTCGAGACAAAACCGTTAATTTGATTAATTTGAAGAGTCATTTCATTTTCACTTATATGTTTCGATTAAATTTTTGATGACCTTCTTTCACTTTCGCATTCTTGGAAGAATGAATCGGTAAAAAAACTTATGACTCGCACCAACTACAAGAAAAGACCTCATGATAGTCAATACGGGGCCTCAACACCCATCAATGCACGGTGTTCTTCACTCATTGTTACCCTAGATGGTGAAGATGTTGTCGATCGCAACCAATATTGAGTTATTTACATAGAGGGATGGAGAAAATTATGGAAAAACCGAACAATTATACAATATTTGCCTTATGTAACACGTTGGGATTATTTAGCTACTCTGTTCACAGAAGCAATAACCATAAATGGACCCGAACAATTAGGCAATATTCAAGTACCTAAAAGGGCTAGCTATATCAGAGTCATTACGTTGGAGTTGAGTCGGATAGCTTCTCATTTGTTATGGCTCGGTCCTTTTATGGCGGATATTTAAAAGTGCACTCTCTTTCTTCTATATTTTCGAGAGCAGAATTGATATATGACCCTTCCTGCTGCCACCCAGATGAATGATGCATAATTATTGTCGTATCCGAGGAGTGGCCGCGATCTACCCTATGGATGGATAGATAAATGCTTTTTTTTTTGGATTTTTGCGATTATTTTTTAACAGGGCCGAGTATCGAAAACTTATTACCCGAAATCCTATTTTTTAGAATGAGTCAAGGTGTAGGCATTATTGGGGAGACGAGGCACAAATTGGGGGTTTATCGACCACTGCTACGAGCTTCCGGAATAGAATGGGATCTTCGTAAAGTTAATCATTATGAGTCTTACGACGAATTTGATTGGAGTGTTCAATGGCAACGAGAAGGGGATTCACTAGCTCAAAGTTATTTAGTATGAATCAGAAATGACAATAATCTATAAAGATTATTCAATAGGCTTTTTGGAAGGGAATTCCGTGAGGGCCTACAAAAATTTAGAACCGACGTTTTGATAGATTAAAAGATCCCGAATGGAATGATTTTAATATCGGCTTATTAGTAAAAACCTCTCCAACTTTTTTAGAATTGTCGAAACAAGAACGTTATGTAAGAGTTGAAGCCCCCAAAAGGAGAATTGAGAATTTTCTCATAGGAGATCGAAGCCTTTGGAGATGGAAAATTCAAGCCCCCAAAGTTTTATCAATTGCAAATTCTTCCTCGCTTATTTAAAAGAATGAAATTGGCTGATATTATGACAATACTAGGTAGCATAGATATCATTATGAGAGAAGTTGATCGTTGAAATGATAATTGATACAATCGTAA